CAAGTTAGGAGACAAGAGTACCTTGGCAGACAGAATGTGCAGGACACAGCACAAGCTAACAGATCGGTGTGGGTCACAGAGGAAATGTTGGGAGGTATAAAAATGCCACTGAAAATGTAGTTAAGCTCATATAATGATGTGCTCTTCACTCCATGCCAATGGTTTTGAATATCAGCACACAGCCTTCACTTCCTAAAGACTTCCATGGAACACCAGTGCCACACAATGATTTAAGGAAGGGGCCTCTACTGCCAAAATGTGTGAGAAATGTTGCACATTAAACTCCCGTTTTTGGAGAGTCACCATGCCTTTCTCCAACAGACTAAAAGCTCTTAGTAATCTTCTACAGCAATGAAATATATTTGATTTTGTTAACTAAGCCATTTCCCAAAACTGTTTGATGGTAAAACTTTTTTTAACATTAAATATATTGACTAGTATGCAATTAACTATAATAACATATTTTTTAAAGTGTTCCTGGGATCACACTCTGGAGTATGAGAGCAGGTAGCCAGTGGAGGCTTGAAAACAGAATATGGCATGATCTTCTGTAGTTGGGTGAGTTGAGTTCCCAATTCTTCACCCTTATCTGTGTTCATTCATTCACCTTGTAACTTTGCAGGTACTCCCACCAGAGATGGGGTATTATGATGATGATACTGGGCTTGGTCAACGGTGTCTAAGTGGACACATTGCATGCAAAGCCTTGAAATGCACCCAGAAATTTTGCAATTGCCATGAGAACATGGCCTGTTTAGGTCATTGGCCCAAAGAGTATGAGAGACACAGGGAGGCAGAGCTGAACTCAACCAGCAGCTTGAAACCAAGCCCACAAAGCCCAGCCTAGATCAGCCAACCTGTGGCCACCCCTCAGACAAGTGATGAAAATAAATGATGGTTGCTTTAAGACACTGCATTCTGGGGTAGTACCTTATGCTATTCATTTTAGAAAATAAACCAATTTCTGGATAAAAATGGTGAATCAAATCCCTACTTTGTTATTTTTAGTTACCATTGAGTCAGCTCTGATTTTGGCAACTCCACAAACAACAGAATGATACATTGCCTGATCCTGCACCATCTTCACAATCATTAGGATGCTTGAGTCCATTATCGTGACCACTGTATATTTTGAGTGCCTTCCAACGTAGACAGCTCATCTTCCAGCACTATACCAGACAATATCCTGTTGTAATCTATAAGCTTTTCATTGGCTAATTTTCATAGATCATTAGGCCTTTTTTCCCAGTCTGTCTTACTGTGGAAGCTCCACACCACCCATCTGTCAGCTGGTTGTACTCTGGTGGCTTGCATGTTGCTATGATGATGTAAGCTATGCCATCAGTATTTCAAATACCAGCAGTGTCACTGTTATGGATTGAAATGTGTCCCCTAAATACATGTGTTGCAAATCCTAAACCCTATACCTGTGGTTATAATCTAGGGAATGGATTTTCCTTGTTATGTTAATGAGACAGTGTTAGTGTAGGGTGTGTTTTAAGTCCATCTCTTGAGATACAAAAGTGTAGACTAAGCAAGCAAGCAAGTAAGCACAAACAAGGACAAGCAAGGAAGACACATGCCACAATGTTGACCAAGGAACCTAGGAATAAAAACTGAAAAGAGACAACGGTTTTTCCCCAGAGCTGACAGAGAGAGCAAGCCTTCTTTTTCCTGAGCTGGTGCCCTGAATTCAGACTTCTAGCCTCCTAAACTGTGAGAAAATAGATTTCTGTTCATTAAAGCCACCCACTTGTGGTATTTCTGTTATGGCAGCACTAGATAACTAAGACAGTCACCCACGGTGGACAAGTTTCAGCAGAGCTTCCAGACTAAGACAAACTAGGAAGAAAGGCCTGGTGATCTATAACTGAAAATTAGCCAATGAAAACCCTATAGATCACAACAGAATATTTTCCAGTATAGTGCTGGAAGATGACCCTCTAGGTTAGAAGGCTGTAATGAACTCAAGAATGAGGATGGTGTGGGACGGGGCAGCATTTTGTTCTGTTGTACACAGGGTCATCATAAGTCAGAGCTGACTCAACAACAACAACACAAAATATAGAGCCATAACCAAACAAAAGGAAGTGGGGGAGGAAGCAGCCCTTGGAAATACAAAAGCAATGGGGCTACACATCCATCACAATGGCTAACAGCACAAAAGATGAGGATGTGGAGCAGCTAGAACTCTCATACATTGTTGGTGGCAGTGTAACATGATACACTCAGTTTAGAAGTTTCTTATAAAACCAAACATACATCAACCCCATCATTCATTTTGGGCGTAGATACATAAAGCTATGTTATGCTTTGTTAATTTTTTTTTTTTTTTTAACAAACCCAGTGAAAAGTCTTAAAGGGAACTGAGACTCAGGGTGCCTCACTATGGAGTTGTGGTAAAAGTGTAAGCTCGGGAGTTAGACGAGCCTAGTGGTTGGTCCTGGGAATGGAGACTAAGAGATGCAAGAGATATTGGAGGCAAATTTTCCAACTGGGTATGAGACCTAAGTGATACAGCCTCTATTCTGAACACCTGGTTGTGCTGATGTTATCAAATGAGATAATGAATTCATTTCTGGATGCGCTGGACTTGATGTAAGCTTTGGACAGCTGGGTGGAAACGTCCAGCAAAGAGCTGGAATACAGATCTGAAGTTTGGAGAGGGTGGAGATAAAATACATCCAAAAGATGCCTGAAAAAGACAGCTTAGTAAAATGCAAAAACACTCTATGTCGGAGGGAAGGAGAATAAACTTTGGTAAACTCATCATTGTATAAATAAATCATTTTATTAACTGATTTGAGATCAATAAAAAAAATTAGATCATTTTACAAATGAAAACTTTGAAGCTTGTAGAAGTTAAATGTCTTGCCCAGAGTACCAACAAACATATGTCTCATAACAACCTTGAAGCAGATGGGTCCACTCTGAATCCTTTCCACCTTCCTACTTAGCAAATCTGTCTTTGAAGAAGTACTAGCAGAATGTTCCTTAAAACAAAGATGGCGAGACTACATCTCACATACTTTGGATGTGTTATCAGGAGAGATCAGTCCCTGGAGAAGGACATCATGCTTGGTAAAGTAGAGGGTAAGCAAAAAAGAGGAAGACCCTCAAGGAGATGGATTGACAGAGTGCCTGCAACAATGGGCTCAAGCATAAAAATTGTAAGGATGGTACAGGACTGGGCAGTGTTGCGTTCTGTTGTACATCGGGTCACTATGAGTCAGAACCGACTTGACAGTGCCTAACAACAACAACTTTGCCACATCAAGTCTTTCCCCTGAGTATTCTAATCACAAGGAAGGGCATCAATGTCCACTTTCTCAATGTGATAGAAGCTGAGGTTTACTCTCAGAACATCATCAGACGCCGCAAGGACTAAGAAAGCCTGAGTTCAGCTCAGTGAGTTAGCTCACAGTCTGAGATGAGCCAGAAACTGCTAATGCGACCGTCTCCTTCTTTCCTTGCAGCAGATTTTGTGTGTGAAACATGTTAGAGGGGTTTGCAGAGATACTACTGTCGGTGTGTGTGGCAAACCTCACAGCTGACACTACATTCTCTTCCAGAGGCAACTGATGGCTCTGTGAATGAATACGGAAGGCTTCCAGGTTGTCAGTGGAGCAAAGTTGATGTGTGTCCTTTCTAAGAACCCTCTGTTGTTAGGCCTCTGTCTCTCTTGGCTACAAGCTCAGTTCCCCCTGACTTACCATCATGAAGCAGGAATTGTTTTTCCATATGTTATAGGTCAGTTTGAGTTTTCAGAAGCTCTAAAGCAGCTGAATATGGCCATCACAACTATTAGAGGAAGACAGCTGACATTTCAAAATGCTATCAGAAATCTTATTTCTATGTGTAGCCCAAAGGTCTTTTGGAAAGAGACTGCTACCAAGTATTGCATGACAATTTCATCCAAATATGACAAAAGACCCATGCTCTGGAGATGCTTTTTATTCTAGAGCTGAATTTATCTGACAAATTATATCATGATATAAATAATATGTGATGTCCTTACATAATTAATCAAAAACCCCTTTTCTTTTTCATATAATAAAGAACATTTTTAAAAAGGAGAAAATTTTTGAGAAAGAGGCCTGTAAAAGAGCCTATGTGGTCACTGATTCCTATTTTTTTTTCTCTATATTTGTCCTTTTCATCTACTTCCTTTGTTGTTTTTTTTTTTTTCCTCTTTCTCCTTTTCCTAGTCTCAGTGAATAATCAAAAGTTTTTGTCCTCAACTAGTCTATATTTTGATTCTAAAAAGCAGAACACACAGACGTCTTAGGCAAGCACACCTCTTGCTCAATGTACGATCTTGGGAGAGATTCTTAGTCTTTCTGAGTCTCGTTGTCCTCGTCTGGAAACGGCTGCATCAGTCACAATGGGCTGGGTTATGCTGTGGTGACATACTAACCCCAAACCACATTGACTCAACACAACAGGATTGTCGCTTGCTTACTCCTGAGATTCACTGTGTGGGAGTCGTGGGGGTTCCACTCTATGGGGTGCTCATTCTGGGCGCAAGACTGATGGAGAAGACATTGTTGGGGGCAACATCAGGCCCCAAAGCAGTGAGCAGGGGCTCTTACAGGGGCCACTAAAAGGAATACGAATCACTTCCTCTTCTATATTATTGGCCAAAGAGGAAAGGGAAGCACAATCCCATCTCATACTGATGAAAGCAAACAGAAGTATTCACAGGACACCCCTAATGGCTACCACAAATGCCCACTTAAACAAGCCAGGTGGACAGCTGCAGTTTTGCAGGCAGCACAGGGCTACAAGGCAAGCAAAGGCAGAACTCAGAGTCCACTATCTCTCTGCTCATCTCTTCCCTTCCCTTGGACACCTTTGACACAGGGGCCGTAAAACCATGTGACTGGAGTACGATGAAATGAATTGTAGGATTCTAAAAAGTCCTTAGAGAATACAGAAAAACATTTTACGCAGTCTTTGGGGTAGACTAGTATCTCCTGGATACACAAACAATTACTTACACTTTTCATCCAATTCAGCCTCCAAGTTCACCAAGATGTTGTTGTTAGTTGTCATAGAGGCAGCTCCAACTCATGGTGACCCTGTGTACAACAGAACGAAATGTTGCCTAGTCCTGTGCCATCTTCAGAATCATCATGTTTGAGTCCATTGTTGCCACCACTGCGTATTTTGAGTGACTTTCAACCTAGGGGGCTCATCTTCCAGAACTATAATGGACAATATTCTGTCGTGATCCATAGGGTTTTCAGTGGCTAACTTTCAGAAGCAGATCACCGGGCCTTTCTTCCTAGTCTGTCTCTGGAAGCTCCACTGAAACCTGCCTACCATGGGTGACCCTGCTGGTATTTGAAATACCAGTGGCGTAGCTTCCAGCATCATAGCAACACACAAGCCACCACAGTACGACAAACTGACAGAAAGGTGGGGTCACCAAGATTTGTTGTTGTTGCTGTTGTTAGCTGTCGTCAAGTCGGCTCTGACTCATGGTGACCTTAGGTATAACAGAATGAAACATTGCCTAGTCCTGGATCCCCAGGTGATAATCTTCCATTGAACACCATTTGTGACCACCCTGGGGTGCTGGCATTTTCCTTCTCTCTTAGCCAACACGTTGTTCACTCGAAAGGAAATGAGCTTCATGCCACCTGTGTCTCATTTTCACTTTTACCTTATTTTACTTCTGGGCCTTCATGCTGTTGATTACCTTCTATTTACTCTCTCGTTTCCTTTTTATTCATTTTAACTATTTTGGGTGATTTTCTGAATTGCAGGAAGTAATTTGCTTCTTGTTCCTGCAGTTTCTACAAAATATTTTTCTTGTTTAACATTTAAGTGTATTCCTTCACAAATCAAAGTTTCTGAATGCAGATGTACGGCAGTCTTCAGGCTTGTCATAAAATGGGCCTGACACTATCACTCCTCGTGTGGTCTGTGCTGAACATTGATCAGGGGCTGGTGAAACCTAGGAGTTCTCAACCTTCTGTGGGCTTTAATTCTAGTTTGGAGGGTGAGGTATTAAACAGGCAACAGAAACCCAGAAGGCACATAGAAGGGATGTCAATTCCCACAGAGGGCTAGGGGAGGAATGCAGGCATCACGGCAGCTGTGGTAGAGGCTGCAGTGTGCTGGCAACTTCCCCTTGGTCCTCACTACATTGTGCCTAGCAGCACACCTTCCAGTGCCAGCATCTGCATCAGTGTACCTGTGCGTGTGACAGGCCAGAAGTGCTAAAGCATGAATGCCTTTGGCAGCATCTCTCTACAAACAACTGACACCAGCTGGCATGTTCTACACCATCTCCCAGGATGGAACCCCACTTCTCCACAGCAGTACACTGATTCTTAACAGTCCCTGTATTGGCTGCCTTCTTTCCCCTGTCACATTTCCCCACTCCTCCAGTAGTTCTTGGGACTGCCTCTCAAATAAAACCACTTACAATTGCATCCTTGTCTCAGGGTCTGCCTCTGGAGAACCCAAAGGAGACAGCCACCTTCCTGAGAATACACTGTCTGCTGAGTCACAAAGGATGAAAAGGGATCAGTGAGACAACATGAGGGGAAGAGAATTCCAAACAGAAGGGCAGTATGGGCCAAAACACTAGGTGTGAATCAGTGAAATGTTCCCTATAAGGGACAACGATTCTAGAATTTTAAACGGGCCAGTCACTGAGCTGCAGCTCAAAATCAGCTTAACTGTGAGCCACCATCTAATCAGTCAAATGTCCAAAGGATTTGAAGATGGCAGACATCTGAGACATCTAACTTCGTGGCAGGGGCGTGGACTTTTGATCCAGACTACACAGGTTAAAATTGTGACTCTGCCATTTACAAGCGGTGACTTTGAGATATTTCCCTAGACCCTCTGTGCCTTAGCATCCTCATCTGTAAAATGGGGCTAGTAATAGTACCTACTGAATACTTATTGTGAGGATATAATGAATTAATGAATGCTATGTTCTCAAGATAGTTGTCACCACGTTGATTCCAACTCATGGCAATCCCATGTGTGTCAGAATAGAACTGTACTCCATAGGGTTTTCAATGACTGATTTTTCGGAAGTAGATCACCAGGTCTTTCAACTGAGGAGCCCCTGGGTGGACTTGAACCTCCAACCTTCTATTCTACTTCTAAAATATCAGCCATGGAGCACATCATCCACCAGGGTGGAGGACGAGGCCAGGTCCAGGGAACGGAGGGGCTGGACAGCTCGACCCAGGCAATGGGCATCCCCTAGCTGTGCAAACAGAGATTTGGGCTGGGGAAACTCAGGGATGCTCTTTCTCCTGGCTGCACCAAGGTCTCCGAGCAGGACGCAGAGGCCTAGGTAAGCAAAGCCACAGCTGCCTGCAGCCCCAGCCCCATTTCACCTTCAGCCTGGCACTGCAGCCACCTGAAAGTGGTGAGTGACAGTCAGTCTCCAGCAACACACTTGTCTCCAAATGCCCACCAGCAGATCCCTTTGAGCACTTTAGTTCTACCAAAAAACATGACAAAGGGGGCAGAGCCAACACGGCACTATAGACAGAAGCACCACGTTGTCCCTCCACAGTAACAGCCTGAAAAACTAAGTAAAACAGAGACAAACATCTATCCTGGAACCCTAAGCATCAAATGAAGAGATAAAGAACTCGACCAAGCACCAAATGGAATAAGAAACTGACAGAGAACAGAGATCAAGGAGAGTTATGAGCAGAGGTCCCCTATCAGCTAACGCAACATGCATCCACCATCTTGGACTCCTGTCAGAGATCAGCGGTCAGGGAGTATGGAAAAGTAGATTCACAGAGTTCCCAGCAGGAGACAGTGCACCCAGTAAACAGCAATACACGCTTTCCCACCCACTACTCTTCCTCCCCCTGCTCGACCTTTGCCACTTTCCCACTGGCCAATCCATGGCTTCCCAGAGGGCCAATTTGCTGCCTCCCAGCAGGCCGATCCACTGCTTCCCAGTGGGCCACGACCACAGCATTGGAGGCATTGTTTCTGTGCCATGAGAGTTCACCCTGCCCACACCAGCTGGCTTCTTCCCTGCCATTTCTTTGTTGCTGGTATTGCTTTTTTCAGTCTCTTTTGGTTTCTTCCCTGCCTCTCACCTCCTCCCCGTCCTTTCTTTCAAACACCTGACTCCGTGTGCAATCTTTGCTTCTTCTTGACAGGCTGTGAAGCGCTGCTCAGCTGGGGAACTACTTCCCCAGTCCACTTCCTCGGCCCACGCAGCCATGCTGGTTGGATCTCTGGGGGCTTTTTTTTTTTCTTTTTTCTTTTTGGTTTGTTTGTTTTCTCTTTCTTTTTTCCTTTTTATTTTTCTTCATGCCTTGGTTACTTGTCTCTTTTTACTTACCTTCTTATTTTTTTTCTTCCATTTTGTTTTCTCCATTTTTTGGTTTTCTGTCTCTCCGCTCCAATGGCAAGCTCCTTCAGCACTTTTTTCTCCTGTTTCTCTCTGCTCTATCTCTTCTTTTCCATACCGAACCTAGCTCCATACATGAAACCTCCTCCTCACTCTCCCTCCTGCCTATCTGCACTTTGTGTTGAACATTGCACTCCCAAGCAGCGTAGGCAAGACTTACTGGAATCTGCCCTGCACTGACTCCTGGCTCATCATGTCAGCTGAAATACGTGCCACAAACAACCCATCCGAGCCCCTCCCCTTCAGCTGGACATGCCCTGCTGTACCATTGCTGAGTGACTGCCCCTGCTCATTGGACAAGGAAGTGAAAAATATTGATTCCAAAGACAAGCAAACAATAAAGAATGCACAGCCACCAGCTCAGACATAACCAAATAAAACAAAAAAGCAGGACAAAACAAAAAATACTACAACCAATAAATGAAGAAAATAACTACTGAATGTCCCAAAGCCAACAGACAATATCAAAACATATAAAAAAAAGGAAAGGACGGTTCCAGCAGGCATACAAAATAAAAATCAGACGACTTTCCAATAGAAGAAAAGGCACTAGAATGACCTGATAGGGAATTCAAATCTCTAATATTCAGAGCTATCCATGAGTTGAAGCAAAAAGCAGACAAAAATGAGGAAAAAATAGACAAATTCATGGAAAATACAGACAAAAATGGAAGAATTCAGGAAAATAATACAGGAACAAAATGCCAAAATAAATTCACAACAAGAAAACATACAAAAACAACAATTAGAAATCCAAAAGATAAACAACAAGATTTCAGAAACAGACGGTATCATAGAAGGGCTGAGGAACAGTTCTGAAACAATGGAAGACAGGATTAGCAAAATTGAAGACTAACACATGGATACAACTTTGAGGAAAAATGAGAAAAAAGAACAAAGAAAAATGAAGAAACCCTGAGAATTATGTCAGATACAATCAAAAGCAAAAATTTTCAAATAATCGGAGTTCCAGAACAGGGGGAAGAAACAGAAAACACCGAGAGGATCATTGAAAAACTGCTTACAGAAAATGTCCCTAATATCACAAAAGATGAAAAGCCAACCATCCACGAAACTCAAGGAACCCTATACAGGACAACCAAAGAAAATCACCAAGGCATATCATAACCACACTCGCTAAAACAAAAGACAGAGAATCCAGAGAGCAGCTCGAGGAAAAAAAAAGTCACATACACAGGGAAACAATAAGATTAAGCTCTGATTACTCGGCAGAAACCATGCAGGCAAGAAGGCAATGGGATGACATATATAAAACCTTGAAAGAAAAGAATTATCAACCAAGAATAATATATCCTGCAAAACTCTTGTTCAAATGTGATGATGAAATTAGGACATTTCCAGATAAACAGAAATTAAGGGAATATGTAAAAACCAAACTTATAAGAATTATTAAAGGGAATCCTTTAGTTTGAGAACAAACAACATCAAACGACACCCTGAATCTAGGACACAAGATCACACTAGCCAGATACCAGCCTAGGAAATGAACTCTCAAACACTACTCAAAACCAAAAGATTTACAACAGGGAAGCAGAGAGGTTAATCTGCAAATGACAATAATATAAGAACAATACAAGAGGGAATAAATGGTGTTGGTAAAGAAACTTCTAATGAAGATGAAGGCAAGGTGATATCAAGTAATAATAGATT